TAAAATATTATAGGTGGAGCATAACCCATTTTAGGATAAACTTATTACCCATCAGCAACAAACGTTAAGGACAGCGTGGCCCGTGGGGAGATGCGCCACTGCGGGTGGCGTGCACTTGGCACGCGTAGGCTTGTTTTTTCTTACCCCAGAAGTCAACACCTGAGTGGGTTTGCTGGCGTGGCAGTGGTGAATCCCTCTAAATGTACAGCGTTCCTGGACGCTGGGAAGGGCTTGCTTGCCCAAGGGTCGTCTGTAGTGTGGGGAACCTGTGTGGCAGCCTCTTCCATTAAATGATTTCTCCAGAGGTATCGATGTTGTCTTACCCTTGTTGCGTCCTTTCCTAAGTTCTTACGTTTTGTCAGTCCTTGAGTGAGTACTGAAAGGCTTGAGTAAAAATGGTATTAGCGAAGAGGGACTTTATTGTTCATATTTAATGATCTGAGGATAAAATTAAAGCGGTCTATTTAGGAATGATGTTTTCTGTTTCAGGAGGGTGTGTTACAGTGATTTTCACACCTGTCTTTGCCAGTCTTAGTTTCTTCTTGTTTTCTGTGCTGACTCCAGTGTCCAGATTTGATGTGCCTCGTTGGACAGTTTCTTCTTACTATTTTGTGGCAAGGAGGGGAGGCTACGTGAAGCTTGCACTGCATCTCCAAGTCTTGGTGTAAGCCTGGATTCCTCCTTTCTGCTGTTGCATTCAAGCTGCTGCCAGTCTTGTTGCTTCTCCTGCAACACCTCCAGCCTGTGCTGCTGTAGGACCTCTCATGCACAAGGTTCCTTTCTTGGTTCCACCAAGTGCTTCATCGTCTGGGCCAGGTTGGCTCTAGATCTGTCTCTCTGCATTGATTTAAGCTCTTCGACTTTTAGTTGGTGCAGATACCAACATCCGAAGCCTCAGGCGGGTTTGCGGCCACCGTATATTCCATCATTTAACCCTCCCTCTCCCCGTGCCAGGGCTTTCCCGCTCTGCTTAACGCTTCCCAATCTCCTTCCTCAGGCAGCTGAGCACGTGAGTTCCTTTTGCCCATCAGAGAGCGAGGCGCGGCGAAATAAAAACAGGCAAGGGGATGGCAGAGCAGCCGAGCTGAGGCGGAAGGAGAGGCGTGATAGCGGTTTGATCCTTTGCCAATTACTCAACCACTTAAGGCCAGCCTTGGAGAGATGATCAGCCCTGATTCCCAGCTCAGGGAGCATCTTCCTCTGCAGTGCTGGACACGCGCTGAGTGATCGCGATGGCTCTGGACAGAATCGGGACAGCGTTATCACGGAAGCGAGAGGAGCGGTGGCACTCATTTTCTGACATACATTTCCCTCTACCGTTTCTTGTTCCGATGAAGGAAACCGTGCCGCATGGAAGAGGTGGGGAGTTTCCAGATTCCAGCACACCAGATTGCTCAAAACACTTGTCTGTCTCTGGCACGTTCTTGCAAGTGGTGTCTAACTGTAGAGGTACAGCACTGACATCAGCCTGCTGGGGCCAACCTCGTCCTTCCAGCACGCTTTAACCAAAGTGGTTACATTTGGGGAAGAAATCTGTAAAAACAAGGTCGTTTCCATGTCGGGGGGGGGGGAAGTTGTTTGCGAGGGCAGAAGTCATTCTTATTTCAAACAGAACACTTAGCTGCTGATAACGTCCAGCAAAACGTTCACAACCTTCAGATTTGTCTTCCCAAATGATTTTATTGTGATACTCGGTCAGGTTAATTTCCGCCCATTTCGGGATGCTTTTCTGTTTTAAACTACCTTTTCCTTAACTGATTGTTTGGATTTTTGTTGAAAAAACCCCATTCAGTCAGGGAACAGGACTTGGGGAAGGAGGGGTTAACGTCATCAGGTGACTTCAAGCTGTTTCCAAAAAGCATCTGAAAATTTTCTTGGCACTTTAAATTTCCTTAAGCGTTATGATTGTAGCGTGCTTACAGCCCTCGGCAAGAGCAGCCTTTGCATTTGAGGGAGGAAAAACTTTAAATATTTGTGAATGCCTTAAAGCTTTAGGTGAGGTGTCTGGGCACTGATTGTGCCTGCCATTTGATTTTCTTCCTGGAGAGCTGTGTGCTGAGTGTACAGAGCAGACACGAACGTCGGCAGATGGTTTTGAGCAAGCGCTGGGGATGGTGGAAGCCGCTGTTGCAGTGTGCGATTCCAGCTGAGGCTGGAATTTGTATCGAACTAAACTAAATGAGCTGGGAGCCCCCATGCCCGTACGGCTGTCTGTGCTGACACCTTGCCTCTTTTTTTTTCCCCCAGGAATGGATTTATTCGGTATATCACTCATGCTGTAATGGGTTTTATCCTTTCTTTAAAGAAAGAAGCCTGGGCTGATGTAGAGTGCTCTGTAGTGTCCTGTTGTGTTAAAGGAAACAAAATTCTCTGCTTGAACGCTTCCCTGCTGTACCAGCTGCCATTCGCAGGCAGGAGTCAGGAGAAGCGGAGGGGATCTGCTGCTGCCCGTAATGTTTGTTGAGATGGCTCTGAGACTTCTCATCTCCCGTTTGTCTCAAAGCTCTGCTGGATTCCCGATGTCAGGCTGGCTTCTGAGTTGCAGCACAAAACAAAGCGCTGCTTTGCAGGTATGGCACGCTACTCTGATTTACTTTGTTCAGAGGTATCGCCTGTTCAGAAAAAGGTATCTCCATGAAGACGAGTGGTAAATTATAATGAAAGAGGCACCGGAGAAAGGTGTTCACATTAATTTTATTGATTTGTCAATGCTGGTAACAGCCAGTCTTCCCACACGGGTGCTTGACACCTGCTACAAGCAGAGTGGATACTTGGGAGTCGTCGGCCATCCCAACTAGGGCATGATCCATTTTGTGTGTACGGAGAAAAGTCCTGCGCTGTCACCTCTCGCAGTGGCACCGCTGAGATATCTTCCACACTACAAATAATTTTCCCTACTTTTCCTGTAGTGGGACAGGTTTCACTTAGGCCTTTCCTCCAGTACAGCTGGAGGCAGATTAGTGTCCCTGAAGTTGTTGACGGGTTCTCCTGCGCCTCGTGGTCAGGCTTACGACAGGGCATGTCCCTGCTCGATAACGTGCTTCTGCCAGAGAATCGACCCAAGCCGCGCTTGGGGGAAAGGAGCATGCCCGTGCTGTGAGTGCAGTTGTTTCCAGACCGCCTGCCAGGCAGCTGGCTGGTGGTGATGTTTCCTGCACCTTCGGGAAAAGTTGGGGAAAACCCTTTTTGGCCCAGATCAACTCCTTGCTGCTGCTCCTGAGACAACGTGCTTGCTTTCTGCCACTTTCTGCTCTGTTCCCAGCTGTGCACGCGTGAGGGCTCTCGCCATCGCCGGTTTTACAGGAGACCCGAGCTCTGTGGGAGAAGGGCTCCCCGCTTCTTGGACAGGTACCCGGTGCAGGTCTCCCGAGCAGAGACTGCCATCTTGTGAACTGCACCAGTACGTCCCTTCTCCACCGTTGCTTCTGGTTATCAGGTGCACCAATTTACTTGTCCAAAGCCCCTTTATGCTTTTATCGATCTCCCGAGACCAGATTTTCAAGGGCTGGGAGGACTTTTGCAGTGTGCTACTGCCGAAATTTTAAGAACAACTGAAGTTTGAACCTGTGAAAACATTTTTCTAGTGCCTTATGCTTGTGAATGTTGTGCAATGGATGTAGCTGAGGTGGGACAGAGCAAGGAGCAACTTCGGTAGCCCGGTTCCCCGTCCACTACAGCCGCCTCCATCTCCCTTCGCAGGGTCTCGGCAAGCAGACACCAACAGATCATCTCTAGCAGCGCGGGGATGCTTTTTAATCCCTTTGAGATCTGGGGTTGTAGAAACGTTAAACTGTAAAACCTTGCGCCGGGTGGTCTGCCATTGAGAGGGGCAGTGGTCTCGCCTCTGCCGGTTTTGGATTCAAAGGGGTTTAGGAGAGACAAAGCTGCTCTGATCGCTAGACCCCGTGATGGAGGACGTGGACAGTTGTTCCCAAGCGCACAAGTCAGGGTGAGTTTGCTGCTCTCCACTGAGGCCATGTTGTTATGTATGCTGTATTTATATCGTGCTTTATTTCATTTAATATTTTGGTTGGCTTAAATATCGCTAGGTTTGTATATTAATAAAGAGGTGTTTTAACTACTCCCGAATTTGGCGATTTGTTACGCGAGAGCCTTGTGTGTCTTTCAGGATCCAAACCCCCTGGTCGTCTGGATGGATCCTGCAGGGACGCTGGGCCTGTTGCAGGGCTCGGTGCTGGGAGCTGGAGCAAGCCCTGGCCCTGCTGGGTCACCCCAGGGCAAGTCGCTTCCCCTGCCTGTGCCTCCACCCCCTTTCAAAATTACGTCCTCCGAGAGTTTGTCCATGTCCTTCCCTGCACCCGTGCAGGGGCTCAGGGGCGTGGGCCGTGTGGGACCGGAGCCTCTTTTTGAGGCTCCACGGGTGGTCAGGAGGGCTGTATCGGACACGGACGCGGGGTCTGGGCGAGCAGTGCCATCACCTAACCGCAGGCTCCGGCCGGAGGGGTTGCGTCGGGGCTCTGCCGCTGGGCACCCGGGCCAGCGTGGGGCCGGGCTCAGCTCCTGCTCGGTGTTAATCGCAGCCGGTGGCCGATGTCCGGCCCAGCTGGAGCCGGAGGGGAGGGGGAGAGGGAGAGGAGAGGATCCTCCCTGGCCCCACCAACCCTCCTGCTCCTTTTCCTTCCCCTCCAGACCCCACCGACGCCTGGGCTTGGGTGCAGGCGAATGGGATAGCAGGCAGGGCTACTGGAAGGAAACCACAGAGCAGTTCCGATGCATGGGTTTTATTGACTTTTAAAAAAAAAAGAAAAAAGAAGTTGTTTTAAGACAGTTGTGTGCAGAAGTACCCATGTACACAGAGGCTATGGGCGAAGCCACCCGCCTGCTCCTAGCCCTAGGTCAGAGCACTGGTCTCTCCCTCTCCCGGTGGGGCGGGAGGGCGATGGGTGCTCAATCAGGCACCGCGTGATGAAGACTACCTCTGCCAGGTGGACAAGCCTGGGCGCCTCCTCCCTGCCTGCCCCCCTGCCCGTAGCCTCTGCCTACATCTCCTCTATGTACAGTACAGTGGTGCTCGTCGGCCCCGCGGCCCCCTCCGCGCCGGGCGTGCAGCATGCTCCTCGTGCCTGTGGCCGGCGGCCGCTCTGCCAGAGAAACAGAAGTGGTTGCGAGTCCTAGCGGGACAGCTTAAATAAAAAATAACAATCATAATTAAAAAAAAAAAAGGGGGGGGGGAAGGGGAAGGAAGTTAGCCAAAAAAATACTGTCAGGGCAGCAAGGAGACGGCGAGCGCGCCCTTTGCCGGATGCTGGCACTGCGGTGCTGGCGGGTTTGGTACCCGACGTCTCTGCTCACCCCATGATTGTCTGGCCTGGCCCTGCTCAGCCGGGACGGGAGCTGGTCCAGCCTCGTCACGCTGGATTTGGCCTCCCCAGCCACCGGCGCGGTGGCCTGGAGGCATCTCTGTCTCCCCCAGCGGCACTTCCCAGCTAAGATCCAGCCCGGCACAAGGAGGGAAGCAGGTACGACTGCCAGATAAATCGGCCAAGCCCCTAACCGCCGGTGCAGGAGTGGGCACAGCCCGGCGTAGCCGACAGGAGATGGTCAAGGCACTCGTTGCTCGTGGTTTTGTGTTTGGTTTTTTAGTTTTCTTCCCCTAAAAAAAAAACCAATCACCAACCCAGGAAGGTGGAGGCCGGGGCTCGCTATAACCTGCCTCTGCGTCCCAGGGAGAGGAGCGGGGTTCGGGGCTGGCCGTGGCGGTTACAGGTAGCGGGTGGGCTGTTCTCACCGGGACGGCACTGCTTCTGCCAAAACCCGCCACAAAATTTAAGTTTTAAAGCCCTGCGGACAGAAAAGACAAAGGTCCCCAGCCCAGGGGATGCTCAGTGCCTGCTCCAGGCGACCCGAACCCTCACGTTTCACAATTGCAGAGAGAAACCTCCAAAAAAAAAAAAGAGAAGAAAACCCTGAAAAACAACCAAACCGAAGCAGAGAAACAGGTAAGAGGCTGCTACAGAAAAGCCAGATACAAAAGGCAAAAAGGTAAAAAAAAAAAAAAAAAAAAGCTCCAAGCCCAGAAAAACCCTATAGTGATTGTTTCTCAAATAACTATTGCGACCAGGTGGTGCAGGCAGGGCTCCCCCCGGCCGGGCTCCGGCCCCGCAGCCCCTGCCCCGGGCTTGGCGCCACGGGGCTTTGCCGTCATGCCGGGCACCCACCGCCGTCACCAGCCGCGCAGGCGGAGGGTCCCTCTCTGGGGGACCTTTTCCGTGATTGCCTTTTTCTTGAGCTTTCCAGCATCTCCTAAAAAAAACCAAACAAACCCCACCCGCCTGATTGACTCAAAGAAAGTGGTTTTAATTACACCTCTGGGGAGTCTGGGGAGGCAGTTTCCTTCTGCGTCTCCCCGTCCCGTGCCCCGGGGCAGCCTGTCCAGCCTGAAAAGCCCCGGGTACCCCGAGGGCACCGGCTGTACCAGCCTGATATAAACCAAGCCCCACCCTCACAAACGGAGCAAAGACTTTGGGATTTCAGCTTCTCACCAGAGCTGTCTGTTTATAGCAACACAAAAGCCAAAGCATGGTTCATTCACCCACTAAAGCTATCTCTAATCTGGTTTTTCTCAGCCCGAAAGCGAAGGGAAATCTTGTCTCCTTCCCTCCGGCGGGGCCGGACCCGCTGCTGCATCCCGCATCCCCCGGGCATCCTGCAAGGGAGCCCGGCCGGAGGGCCCGGGCTGCTGCTCCTGCAGGTTTCTTAGCTGCCTTTTGCCCGGTTGCCCCCAAAATCTGCCCTACCCTTCCTCAATCCTCAGGTAGAGGAGTGGGGATGCCTGGCCCCGAAGCCGGGGTTCCTCTCCATCTCCCAGCCTGGCCGTGCCGGCAGCCGCCAGCCTGCAGCGGA